GCATATATTGCATATCAAGATGGAGTTGATGCTTGTTAATATGGCTTGTATTGGCGAATATTAAGATGAAGGCTTATGCCTTGTTGATGCCTCTATTTATTGGCAATTATTTTAAGATGGGAGTTCTGCTCCAATGGTACCACATGAATTTTCAGAGTATTGATTCGCATTACATGATTGTATAAGGAAGTTGTGCATTGATGCGATAAATGTTGTATGTTGTTAATGTTCCCTTGCGATTATTGTTGTTTATAAGATGTGAAGTGGTGATATTATATGATCTGATATAATATATTATTTATCATATGTTTTATTATTTGTTAGATATCTCACCCCTTCTGTTTGAATGTTACCCTTACGTTGGTAACGTGCAGGTAATCCAGAGTGAAGGTGGTTTACCTTCAGTAGTTTGAGTCGGTGTCATTGCTTTGATACATAACACTCGAGGGGATGAATGCTTGTTGCTTTTAGTTATTATTATTCCAATTGCTGAACTTTAATTTGATTGTTGCTAAGTATGTGTTATTTTGAAGTTGTTTTAATGTTGGACAAGGATGTTATTCTGATTCCGCTGCGTAGTTGTTCAAGTTGTTGAATTAAGAGATTAATTTATTTTATTGTTGGTTCATCTGAAGTTTTAAAGTGTTATGTATCCATGTTGAATGCAATGGGTTTTAAGTTGAATTTATGGTATCCTGATTCAGTTGTATGAATTTTATAACTCTGATTTACATTTATAATTACCGGGTAGAATTGGGGTGTTACACAGATCACCTCTCTAGACTCGAAAACCTAAAATATGAACAAGTTCCCATCAATGATGACTTCCAATAAGGTAAACTTATTGCCCAGTTAGAAAATAACGAAATTCAATATGATTATCCTTCCGAAATAGAAAACCCCGATTTTGAAACTGATGAATTAGTGAAAGCCATCTTGGCTTATTCTGCTATACCTTGGTATGTTGATCTTGTAAACTACGTAGCAACCAGTGTTTTTCCGCCCGAGTTAACCTACCAACAAAAGAAGAAATTTTTCCACGACCTTAAACAGTATTACTGAGATGAGCCATTTCTCTTCAAGAGACGCACTGATGGTGTTTTCCATTGTTGTGTACCCGAGGAGGAGATAGAAAGTATTATAACTCCCTTCCATGTCGCATCTTATGAAGGCCACGCAAGCACGTCTAAAACCTGTGCAAAAATCCTACAATATGGCCTCTATTGGCCCAACTTATGGAAAGATGTACACGTTGTAGTTATAAACTGCAACCATTATCAATACACTGGTAACATCTCTAGGAAAAACGAAATTCCATTGAATAATATCCTAGAAGTAGAAGATTTTGATGTGTGGGGTATTGACTTTATGGGGCCCTTCCTATCGTCCTTTAGAAATAAGGTTATACTTGTAGTTGTTGATTACGTGTCAAAATGGATAGAAGTTGTTGCTTCCCCTACAAATGACGCACGAGTAGTAATTAAGCTTTTCAAGAATCAAATCTTCCTTAGATTCGGTGTACCAAGACTTGTCATTAGTGATGGTGGGTCTCATTTTATCTCCAAAATATTAGAAAAATTATTATTTAAGTATGGAGTCCAACGCCGCATAGCAACACCTTACCACCCACAAACAAGTGGTCAAGTGGAAGTCTCCAATAAGGAGACTAAACAAATTTTAGAAAAGACAGTTGCACATCTAGGAAAGACTGGTCCTCTAAGCTACCTAATGCTTTATGGGCATAGAGAATAGCCTATAAGACTCCCATATGAACAACATCGTTTAAATTAATTTATGGTAAGTCTTTCCATTTGTCAGTTGAATTAGAGCATAAAGCTTATTGGGCCATTAAGGCCCTAAATATGGATTATGCAGTTGCAGGTGAAAAACGAGTGTTAGATATTCATGAACTCAAGGAATTACGACTAGATGCTTATAAGAACACAAAAATCTACAAGGAAAGAACAAAGAAATGGCATGATAAACGCATAGTAAGAAGAGAGTTTAAAGAGGGGGAATTGGTCCTTCTGTTCAACTCTCGAATTCGACTCTTTCCGGGTAAACTTCGCTCTAGATGGTCCTGTCCCTTTGAAACTACCAAGGTTTTTCAAAATGGCGCGATAGAAACCAAGGATAAATCTAATGAACCATTCATCGTGAACGGGCAGCATTTGAAACATTATCATTGCATTGACAACAGAGACTATTATACTAGTCTAAATCTTGAAGAGCTGCCCACTCATTCACAAAATTAGTTTTTGTTAAAACTTTGTCGAGCTTACGACATTAAACAATGCGTTGTGTGGGAGGCAACCCAAAATATTTGACTTTTTGATTTTTATATATTTTAATGTTTTTGTTTCTTCTCTTTGCTCCCCCGAATGTTTTGCGGTTTAATTATTATGATCAGTACTAACTTTCTCAGTATCTCCTTTTAGGCTACTAACTTCTTAACTAACTTTAGAGATGGATAAGATAGATAATATGGCCTTCACTTTTGGAAGCGAAGCCTAGCAGCGATGTTATGAGATTCTTTTTCAGAGAAAGATGGCATTGACAAAATTTGCCGATGGCCTTACCATGGGTGCTCTAGGTATTGGGGAAAGCATCTACTACACGTTTAACCAAATAGGATGGGAAGGTTTTATTAGGAAGAAATGCCCAACTTATCATAAGTTGAATTTAGAATTCCTAAGCTTATTCACTTATGACCCTAACCTTGGAATGGGATTAAATAGAGGAAAGATTTCTTTTAGACTATTTTGGTTTACCTATCGCATGACGACTTGTAAGATTTCAAAACTGTTTGGTTTTCCAAATGGACCAGATTCTTTCACAGAGGCGCTTGAGGATTTATTTATGGAGAACGAAATAAACTATTTTTGGGGTCAAATTTCTAGGCAACATAATCATGATTCAAACCCAATGGACTCCACCCAAATCCATAACCCTACTATCCGCTACTTCCACATGACTTTGGCCTTTACCTTTTTCAGAAAACCTGAAAAAGATACCTTAGTGTCTAGGGATGAACTTTTCATTATGTTCTGTGTTTTCCAGTCTAGATTCGTAAATGGTGCAACCTTCATGCTTTCTAACTTACACAATATTGCACAAGCTAATCATGGCCCCATCCTGATCGGTGGTCTTGTTTCTATGATTGCCACTACTTTAGCCTCAAGAACCCCACTTTCATGGCTAAACCCTTTAGGAGGATATTTCCCAATGGACGTCATTCTTTGTTTTAATACAGAACTAATTGAAAACCTTGGTCCTAATGATTTTCAACTATTAGTAAACCATAAGCCTGTTCATCTTTTCACATTGCCCAATATTGAAAAAACTAGTGTGCACGATAAAGATAACTGACTTTATAATCTAAAGGGACAAGACGATACTGACCCCGACCCATGAGATTCCTCCACTCTACCACTATTATCCAGCCTAAGAACCTACCATCACTCCTATTGCCTCTTCGGTCATTACACCACCTCTAATTGACCATGTTGCTGCTATCGATGCTCTCTGAACTGAGTTTACCACTCTTCCTGCCAAGGTCACTACTCTTCGCCAGGATTTCTATGGATTTGGACATCACACACAATCGGTTTGACCATCTGTATCAGAAGCTTCACTCTTTAAAGAGAAAATACCGCCCACTGACATCCATCGTGGGTGTTTCTTCATATTACCATTTTTCTCGTCTCTACACTAAAACATTATGGTCACTTTTTTCTTTAGTTGTGGGAGGAGATATATATTTTTCCTATTTTCTAATTAGGACTTTTCTTTTATCAATTTATAATTTAGGAAATTTTCTATTATTGTTTTCATTTCAACTAGAAACTTTTTAAGTTTGTAGTTTGTTACCATTATTTCAATACTTAAGTTTCTTTTAGTTAATTCTATCATATTTCTTTTAAATTATTGTTTTTATTTCATTAATGATATCATTATAGTCAATAAATGACAAGTACATGGTCCAATAAAAATGCATGCAACCATGGTAAAAAAGAAAGTGCAACAACCATTAATGTCCCTGCCGCGCGCCTTTAATTCATGCCACCCGCCATTAATGTAACCATTGTGGTGACCCCTACACTCTATACCGCTCACCATCAATTCTTTTGTGGCACCCACAACCTTGCCCATGCGCCTGCCATAACTCCCCACCTCCCTCACATTATCACACACAACTCTTGTAACATACACCCACTAAAACACCATTATTTCACATTATTCCATTCAACTCCCTTTCAACTACCACATTTAATTACCACTCAATATTTATCACTTCACAAATTTTATTTCATTCCACCTCCGACTTCTTCTTTTCCTCTTCTTTATACTCAAATTTTCATAAGTCACTGTCATGGCACAAGGGCAAAGGTTACCGGATAATTTTTAGTGAAGGAAGATTCAGTGAGAGGCAGACACAACTTTACGCTGCTCTGTAAAATAGAGAAATCCTGCCAACAAGGTATGTTGATGAAAATTGTGTAAGAACTTGAGGACTGTATGATAGTGTTAATCATATGCTAAATGTATTGGGTCTTAACCATTTTCTATCTATGAAAGACCATGTTTATGTTCAACTCACACGAGAATTCCTTAGCTCTCTTATTTATTCTCCCATCCCCAACACAGGTAGTTCTAGTGGGACTGTTTACTTTTGTATGTTCAATATAAGATATGAATTCATTTTTAACCGTTTATCTGAACTGTTTAATTTCCCCATGGAGATGGTGTTAAGTGTGAGGTCCCAGACACTATTGGATGGCACAATGTTGTGAGTCCGTTCTAAAGGGCACTAACAGGCGACCAACAGACATCCTTAGGGTAATAATGCTTCATTGATTCATAACCCGACTATATGGTATTTCCGGCAATTGTTGGCATGCACCATTTTTGACCGGGCAAATTCGAACAAGGTTAAGGCTAAAGAATTCTTTTATTTGTTCGTCATTTTTATACCCTAGAAAATTAATATAGTCTCATTCATGCTCACTCACATGCATGTGTTCGTCACTGCAAGACGGGGACACATCACATTTGGTGGTTTAATAACCTCCATTGCCCGAACCATAGGGCCAGAGCATAAATTAGCAACCTTAGTACCTCTCCCGTCATGTTTCATTGATATTGACATGGCTAGGAGTATGAATTTAGTGAAACAACATCCAGTCGGTAAATTTGATTTAATGATTAATAACAAAGTCTTTCCGAATACCACTCTCCCAGACCCAAACCGCATAGATGTGCGCCATCAGAATAACTTTTTCTATATTAATGACCCAATGCCTAGCCCAGTCCCCGTGCATATTCCTGAGAACGTAGCTGCTGGTGAGGACACTGATGACGAGTATGAATGACGAGAAATAGGCTCTCTAATGAGTACCCAACATGCTCCCTCTCATGATAATGTTACGCATACACACTCTGCACCTGGTTCTTCTAATTCCTATACAGGTACCTCTTATGGTAGCTATTATTTTAATGAAGCTATGATGAGAGAACAAATAGCATGCGAGGAAGACCATGATGGGTTGTTCTATGCTATGTATGAGCAATAGCAATAGATAATGGGTTACATGCACACATATCAAGCTCATACAACAAGCTTCTTCACCCAGGTACAAGAAAACCAAGCACACATGGCACATAGCCTCCGCCAGCTGCAAGATTCTAACGCATCACTAACAGTCCAAATTCAGCAGCTTCAGCTCTCCGAACGTCCACACCACGGTAGGAGTCATTGCCGACGAAAATATTCATCTGACGAGACAGGGGGTAATGGAGGCATGCATTAGCCTTATTTTAGGTTTACGTCTCCTTTTCCACCTTATTTTGAAACAGGGACAATGTTTGGTTTAAGTGTGGGGAGGAATTTTATCACATTTATTTATTGCTTTCTAGGTACATTGAATTATTATGTTCCTTTGTTAATTTTTTAGTGTTAATCGAGTCATTGCATGTGTTGTCGAGACTTTATGTGTGGTTTCCGCAATTTATTTGATTCCCCCATCTTCTTAAGCCATAAAGAATTTTTTTCTTGGTTTGATGCATGACACGACACTCTAAGAGTATATAGGTTGCTTTGCACTTTAGGCTATGTTGGAAATACTTGAGAAAGATTCAATAAAATCGGCACCATTTTTACACCCTAAGCTCCATAAATATGCAAGATCAATTTGAGTACCTATCATTCCAAGACCTTAAGTTTGAGTTTCAAAGCAGCCCCGCGTAGTTTATATTAGCAGTCAACATCTTCCTAAGCACACTCTACGTAGGAAGATCGATGAATATAAGTGAATGATATTGATTTTTAATGAATATATAATTTAAATGAAAATGGGAACACGCATTTTAAGTTTGGTGACCTTCACCCGGTCACTTAGCTTAACGGATGTTGAACCTACAAAAAGATGATAATAATTATCCGCTGTTAGTAAGTCCAGAGGTTGTTGGTGTTGGACTTGGTAGGGCAGATCACGGTTCGATCCCCCGCAACTGCAGTTGGGAAAAATGGGGTTAGCACCGTTTACTTTCCAACACCCCAAGCGAAAAGGATCAGAGTTTCTAACTTGTCTTTTTACTATGAGTGTGCATGGATAATGGGCTTATTGTGTTTGCGATCGAATAAAAGTGGGTAAAGCGAAACAAAAGAAATAGGTCGAGTTATAATGGAATGATTCAGATTGGTTTGCATAGGGTGGGAGTTTTTGGTTGCATATTGAGATTTTGTGTCATTACGGTATCCTTTGTGTTGACATTCAGTACCTATCTATCTATCTAACAAAATCCTTGCAACCACGTAAGATTTGAGTTTTGTCGTGTTTTTGTTTCGAGCCCGTGTTTAGTTTGATTACCATGTTAGTTATTTGCTTGAGGACAAACAAAGGTTCAAGCGTAGTGGAATTTGATAAACACTAAATTATATCGTATATTTGACTTGACTCGCATGAATTTTAGTCTAGTTTTTGTTTATTTATGTATTGTTATACTGGTATTATTGTCCTATTTTAGGTACCTTAAGCATAATTGGTCATAGAAGAGATTTGAGTAAAAAAAGAAATTAAAAAAAAAATGAAGCAAAAAGCCCAGATGCAAAATGTGGCACCTGCCACGTTCTCCACGCGCTCACTACGCTAACAGGAGTGGCGCCCTCCACTCCCTCCACGCGCCCGCCACATGCTCCATAAGTATTCATTTTCTCCACCATCATGGATTCTCGCCTGCCACCCACTCTCACCCTTCACGTTCTCTATTAATCCCGTGATCCTCGTTCAACTTAATTGTCCGAGTTTATGATTTGGTTGGAGATTTTTACACGAGGATTCGAGTATAAATTGGAGAGATCATCTTCAGTTTGAGGGACCAAAAGTTTTTAATATTATTTTTGCAGAAAATAATTTTAGGCAGAAAAATTCACCTGTAAAAGTGATAGCTCTTCTACATCGGGGGACAATCACAACTCTAGTTTTAAGTCTTTTAATTACATTATGTACTCTCAACATCAAGTGTGTTGACATAATAAAACCTCGGTTCCTGTTATTGCATGTGAATTTAATTTAAGAAGTCATTCCAGTTTTTGCATTATTTACAGGTTCTATTTTAATTTCCTATTTTAATTGTTACGATTGTTTCGATACTGTGCATTATTCCTGTCCCGTACTGTTACATTTTAGCAATAAACTAATTCTAGTTTTTTTAAAACCATGTTTTGTTCTATGTTTAATAATTATATCAACATGTTTATGTTCAAAACCATTTCCGGCTAAACCATTTGATACCGGTATGTAAGAACCATCGTCTGAACGAGATTCAGTAATAATTGGCGTTAATCTTTATAAACTATTTTCCTAGTTATAGTTTCTAGTACTAAAATTAAAACAATTTTTGTAGGAGAGTAAAAGGCTAATAAAGGTTAAGTTTAATAGAATGATAGTTTGAGATTTTAACCAGATAGTAGAAATTAGGCATTAATCCTAAACACAGCGAGAGCGCTTTAGGATTAATTAGAACTTATTGATTTCAAAAAATTACTTTTAATTCAAATGAGTGAGCGACAACAAAACATCCTGGTTTAAGAGTATAGTCAGAGTCAATAGCACGACAGTGTGAGATAAAGTCTTTTAAATTAATATTTTCTACTGAAAAGTATTTTGAAATTTTTATACGCCAACATATTATCGAATCCCTGAAGTATGACGAGTTACATACCAGTGTCCCGTTATTGAATATTTCTATTAAAATTTCAGTTATTATTTTAATTTATTTCCCGTTTTCCTCAAACCCAAGATAAATCATTAGCCTTATATTTATAAAGTAACATTAGATAACATTAGTTTGATTATCAGTCCATATGGGTTCAATATCTTTTAAAACTACGCAATTAGATTATGCACTTACAGTCAGTAAACTCGATAGACTTTTAAATTCGCAATCAATTGCATTAACTTATTTCTCTATAGCAGTAACCCACACAAAGTATGTAGTAACTTCTGTATAGAAGAACTACTTATCCTCAACAAATAAGACTAAGTGTGTGAAGTCTTCATCTAGTGTGACCATATATATTCAAGAATGCCACCATATTTTTGGAGACTTCTAGTGTGGAATCTAATCCTCTGAATTTTCTTTATTTACTTATACATCACCTCTTTTGGGTATATGATGCTCGCTATGCTCATCATGGAATAAAAATGACATGCTTGAGGATGATTCAACATATTGACTCTACCAACTTCAACATTTATGTTAATTGGTTGTAACATCTTTTCTTGTAACAATCCTTCAAATTGACAAAGTTGTATAACTTGTAAGAACTTGCAATGTGGTAGCATATAAGAATCATCACTTCATTTTCATCTCCAAGCTTCTTCCTTCTTAGGTTTAGGATGCATTTGAAACATAAAGAGACAAATACCTCAAGTGTTTGACAACTAGAATGTGACATATCTATATTACCTTTTAAACCATATCTAATTTCTTAGTTGGACTCCCGTTGAGCACATAACATGCAATTGTGGCAGCTCCACCCCAAAAACATGTGGTAGTATCTTTTCTTTCAACATGCATCTAGTCATGTTTATATTAGTCAGTGTTATATGTTATTGGTTGCATTATGCAAAACAACATGGAATACACGAGATGTTTTGGTGAAAAAAGGACACATGTGGAATATGATGTTCCAGCATGTGTGCAACCCCTGGCCATTGTTGTAGCTGTTCTACGTGTATTTTTAGGATTTGTGCAACAATCTTTTTCGCTATCTTTTAGTAATGAGATTAGTTAGATTTGTTTAGCTGATTGAATGAGATCAAATCTATTTAATTATAGATTTAAATTTGAATAGGAAATTTAAATTTGAATAAAAAACAAACCAAATATTTTGTTAGAGGTGTTTGAAAAAATAAACCAAAACATAATTCTTCTTAACTCTAGACATGATAAAATCTTATGCCTAAGGAAGAAAACCCTATAGTTTGAATTTCTATTTAAGGAAACTCAAAACTAACATATGAAGGGTGTGCAAGGATTGAAAATTCTTTGTCTTAGGGTTTCTATTTTGAGTCTTTTGTTTGTGTTAATGTTTATGCACCGCTATAACGCCTGCATTCATATCTAAGGGCATATACTTTAGTTTGTTAGTTGATTTATAATTCAACATTCTTGAAACTAATTATTCATATTGATCTTACCGGTGATCAGAACTTGTAATGGGCCAGAAACTTTGTCCGCGGTGCTGAAATCACAAAGGATGGGGGGTGTACCTGCAAGGCACTATGATGCTCAAGTAAGTAAGAGTGTAGAGATACATGAGATAATTTTGGGATAAGATTTTAGTTACCTGACCCTATGATAACACGAAATTTCATTGTATTTTCGACTCAACTTGCAAGAATTATTTTACCGTTTTTTAGTTATTTATGTTATTTTATGCTGGTAGTGTTATTGTATTTCGGGTATTTTTTCTCCACAAGTCTTGCATGAGAAAAGAAAGAAATTGGAAAAGAAAATGCAAGCAAACATGAAGTAGAAGAATAGTTAAAGAAAATCTGCACACAGAAAGCTGTGGCCCTCGCCACACCTTATGTGGTCCTCGCCACAAATCTCAAATATGTGGCCCCCGCCATGTTTTCTGGGGCCACCGCCACAAGCTTCAGCTGGTAAGCCATCATTTCTCTCCCACGTCAGAGTTACAAGATGATTTTTTTCTATTTTCTCTCTGCAAGACCAGGCATTTTGAAAACTTCTCCATGAATGAAGCCACTCCAGATTCTTCTCGGGGGAGTTACGTGAATAAAGCGAGAGATCTATAAAAAGGGAAAGGATTGACAGTTATCGGACGTCCAATTTTCTATTGTTCAGAGCACTTTTTCTTCTAGAGTTTAAGAAGAAAAATCACCATAAAAAGTGATATCTTTCCACATCGTGGAGCTATTGCAACCTAGTTTTAGATTCATATTTTAGCATTCAATTATGTACTTTTCAAAGAAGCAAATCCTGCCGATATCTGTGGAGGATTTCAAACTTGAAGCTTTTAGTTTATATTCCAGTTTTGATTTTAATTCCAGGTTTCAAATTGCATTTATTTTTATTGTCTCTAATTTTCAATAATCATGCTTAGATTTATAATATGCTACTGGTATTGTATGCTTACGTTTAAAAGCAAGTCCGGCTAATTTCTTTAGATATCGGTATGTAAAACAATCTAATCGAAGGGATTCATAAATCTATTGGCATAAATATTTTCAAACTACTTTTCTGGTTTTGATTTCTAATTAAAATATTAAAACAATTTTGT